CACAAACAAGAGATAAAGTCTGTTTTAAAGAACTTTAAGGAGTGCGTGTTTGGAGAGACGAGGGAAGAGGTGTGAAAGAGGAAGAGGTTTCAGTGTCTCCAAACAAACTGAGTTCATGTTGAAAATCCTGCTTCATGTTTATTATTTTGACAAACTTTCCCTCCCTCCTCCTTCCTCCTCTCCTCTCAGTCCAGGTTTGACCCTCTGAGCTCTGTGAGTGTCTCTGCAATTCATCTTCACTTAAAACCACTTTTTAAACAGTGTCAAGCTTCTTTCAGCTCTGCTTCTGATTTGTCTCTGCGATCCAAAGATGATTTAAATAACTGAAGTCATTTTGAAATTAACTTTCACCAGGCTTGCAGGACAAACTGTAGTTATCTAAAAATACAGATATGAGAAGGATAAAGAAATGAGGGGAGTTTACACAAATGAATGAACTGACACAAACCATTACTAAACAAGTGAGTAGCTTGCAAAGGATTGTGGGATACTGAGGAAACAGTGGCTGTAAGAAAGCGACATCTCTCAACAACATCTGGACAAATACAATCAAATAAAAAGATGTTTTCCTTTCAGTCTTTCTGACTTTATTGTTTATCTACTGAAGTCCAGTGTACGAGCTTCAAACGTTTATGCAAACAGGCCGAACCACCATTTATCGTTCTAACACGTTCTAGCAAATTAAAAAGTCTAAATCAGCAACTTGTTCTGACGGCGTCACTGCGCTAAATCCAACATGTATTGTTTTAGTAACAAGCCATATGACAACATGATGAACATAATATTAGGGCTGTGCCCAACTCAATGATTCAGAGCCTGAAGCTGAAAACACATCAGCGCCACTGCAGTGTGCTGCATCATGTGACGTGGGTCAAATGCTGCCGGTAGCACACACTGGACACGTCACGCTGCAACTCGTCAACAGACAAACACACAAAGTTATCACTACTTTTACTGAAAGATCTGTCTTTCTTCCACCTCTGTGTTAGCTTACAATCATGTGTGGACAGCAGAACTTAAACGTGACATCACAATGACACAGCAACAGTTACAGAGCTCACTTTATACATCCATGGTGAGGAGAGGAGAGGAGTCGAGCTGCTGTAGGAGCAGAGAAAAGGAGCTGCTGTGGGAGCTCGTATGTACAAGCAGACAGAGAGTTGGGGAAAATGCATTTGATTCCAGGGGCGGCGAGGCTGGAAATAGGACAGGGGTGTGAAGTGCCACGGGGCAGCGCATCCAGGAGCGCTGATGCGTGTCTGCCCACGGTCGGTATGGGGTGGTATATTGGAAATAACAAGGATGTACTTTTTGACCCACCCTTCTGCTGCTGGGGATTTGGTCCATGACTTTAACCACCTTAGTGCCTGCAGAGCAGCATGTCTCTGCTGATAGTCTCCTGACGAGCCTCACAGCTGAGTCACCAATGACCAGGGTGTTGGGAGAAGCAGCCGGCGACACCTCAGTTCGTGCTTGCCAGACACTCGTTTGATGTTGGGACACGGCGTCATTATGCTGCTCTGGAAGGCTGCTGAGCTGCTCGTGAAATCTGGTCCACTGGTCCAGTCTGGTGTTTGGCTTCATATCAAACTGGTTTGAAAATATTTAGACCGACCCCACCCTGTTATCTACAGCTGCTTTACACGACCTCAAGAGTCAACACCTTAATCAAAGGCACTTACAAACCACACACACACACGCACTCACACACACACTCATATATAATGCATCAGTAAGAAGGCAGTTTGACCCAGTTTAGACACTGACGTGTTTTTTTTCCTCAACTTGAAGCGTGTTATTAGTGAGATCGATGCTCCAAAGGCCGAAGCTGTCATCTGTCTGCCAACACACACACACACACACACACACACACACAAACAATTATAATTCCATTAGTGTTTTTCTCAGGCAGTAATCGAAGGGCCTTATTGGCTGACGATTCAGCCTTGACACACACAGGGTACAAGGCCAAGACACACACACACATCCTTCAGCTAAGTGGTGTGTGATTAGTGATGTCTGGGTATCAGCCAATGAAAAATGGGTTTCAGTCAGTGTGTGTGTGTGTGTGTGTGTGTGTGTGTGTGAGGTCACTCTGTCAGCTCTGAACTTTCTGCGGACATTAAAAAACCATCTTTAAGGCACGACATCTTTAATAATTAATCATCTGCATTTTTTCCTCAGCGTTTTCAATGAAACACACGATGTGTTCAAGTGACTTTGTCTGTACTGGTGGTGCCTTCAATGTCACCCTGCTTACTGCGTAAACTGGAGCAGTCCCTTTATGAACGGCCTGATGTTGTGACTTGTAGCATAACTTTGAACCTTGAGTCAAAGGTTTCAATTAAAGCACACGTCTGGTGTTGTTGCAAGTTTCTCTGATTGTTTCTTATTTGCAAACTCAATGAACAACATCTGTGTCTCCGCGCTGTCTGACTTCCTGTCTGTGTCTCTCAGCTCCGAGCCCATTTGTTCCTACTAAACATCTTTAAACACACAAATATGTGGTGTCATCAGTTGTCTCCTCAAACAGCTGCTCGCTGCACTTTCTATCAAACAAACAGGAGGAAACAGTGACTTTGCTGGGGACTATTTTCAGCGGCGGATTAATCCACATTTGGTTCTGTGGTGAGTATTTGTGGCAGCAGAACGCTGTACGTGGGATTGAGTCAAAATAAACTGCAGTGTGTGTGTGTTCATGGTGACGAAGGAGCAACAGTGTGGTTCACTGATGTGTTTTTCAAACAGTGGAGGAAGACGACACATGACGCTGCAGACACACACTGAGCCTGTGAGCAGACACATCCACAGATGATCTGAGTCTCAACATGAGAAAAATGTCCTTGTTTCCAGAGGCTTATAACAGATCTGCTTTAATCAGTTCCTTATTTCTGGGTCTCTCTGTCTCTTTCTCTCTCTCGCTGACATTCCACATTTTTTTTGTGTGTGGGAACTTTGTTTTTAGAAGAAGGGTTTGAAAAATGAGACGCAGAGAGAGAGAAAGTGACACAGAGAGCAAACAGCATCAGACTCATGTTACTGGCTCTGCTGTTACATTTAAAGACATCAGCTCTGTCTTCATGTTAAATAGGTGGCACTTCAGCTCAGTCACCAAAAGAAAATGTGGCATTGTACATTTCTGCAAACCATGAACACATTACAGCTGCAAGGTTCATACGTATCACATTAACTTTTCTACAGTAACGTAGCATCTGAGCTGACTGTGTCATCAGGAGGTGGAGGGGAGGTGGATGGTGCGACACTGAGGAGAGACGCCTGCAAAGCTGCAGACACTGTGCGACACCAACAAACTACAGAACCAGCTGGTTTTAGCCACTCATTGCTTTCAGGCCCCAAACTGGCACCATCACTGTTATTCACTCTAACACTGTAAATTAGTTGTTTCTTGCTGAGACATCACAGCATCTCCATATTTTTCTGGTATTTTACTAATATTTTTAGAATATTCAACCAATAATTTTCTGATATGCAACTAATATCTTTTGGAAGTTTTACTAATATTTTTTCACGTATTTTTCAGATTTGTTTTTTCATGCTTAATTTTTTTTTACATATATATTTTACTAATATTTTTCAAATACTTTTCCCATATTTTTCTTATCATTTTTGGGAATTTCACTAATAGTTTTAGGATATTCAACAAATAATTTTCTGACTAACGACTATTTTTTGGACGTTTTACTATAAATTTTTGTGGGTATTTTACAAATAATTTTCTGGTATTTTACTAAAACTTTTTAGGATTTTTAATCAATAATTTTCTGATATGTATGAAATATCTTTTTTTTATAATATTTTTTACAATATTTTACAATACTTTAAGACATTTAAGTAGTACTTTTGGGATATTTTTAATCATTTTTTTACTGATCATTTTTTCCATATTTCTTTTTTTTGTTTATATACTTTACTAATATTTTTAGAATATTTTATCTTTTGGAAGTTATTTTTATTAAAAAAAAAAATTAAAAATTCCCATACTTAATACATTTTTTTTAATATTTTACATATATTTTTATGCATATTTTAATAATAATCTTGATATTTTGATAATATTTTCCTGATATTTCTCTTATATTATAAGTAGCATACAATCCAAACGCCCAACTTAAGTCCATGATTAGTTACATTCCATCACTGTATTTATAAAACCCCTGATGAAGACGAGAAGTGACTGAAGGCCTGAATAAATAAATAATTGTAATGAAAACCAACACAAAGCATTTCGTTTCAAAGGACTAAAAAGTCCAACTCTGCATCTAATAACTGATGAATCAAAGATGTCTGAAACAGATGACTGAGCAAATCCTCCACATCAGCTCAGTTTGGTTCAGTGTGTGTCAACTGGGATTTAAACTGGTGTTGAAAAGTGCTCACAGCGCCCCCTGCAGGCCGCAATGTCCGTCACAACCTCCAGCAGCGAGTGGACACAGCTCACTGATGATTTAGCTGCTTGTTGAGGGAACTCAAAGCGGCTCATCCTCTGGAGAGGCTGATGAACCTCACGAGAGGATGAACTTGGATCAGTTCATGTCACAATTAATGACTCCATAAATACAATCAGACAAAGCACACAACAGTGGTAATACTTGTGCTGCGCAAAAATGTACAGCACACACATTTCATTTCACAACACGCGCACAATCACACTAGTCCCTAAACTTGGACAAGAAGCACGCACGCGCGCGCACACAGCTGCTTGTCGAGAGAAACCAAACATGAAGATGGAAATAAAGCTTTCAAATGATCGATGCTGTATCGACTGGAGGCTTTTATTGATCAGCATTTCTATTTTTAAGTCTCTTCATTTGTTCCCATTTATGTCTCTGAACTTTGTGTCTTATTTTGGAGGGGTGTCCACTCTGAGCCTCAGTCCTCTCCTCTCTCATCTCTAACTTCTTACTCTGTTTGTACGAATGCAAAAATAATTGGTTAGAAATTAAACTTTTGCCTGTACAAGTGATTGAAACTGAGAGTACCTCGGTGCCGGTGGGGAGCGGAGACATGTACGTCCAGCAGCCGGTGAGTCCCTGCAGACCCCGCTGATCTCAGCTCCTTTCTCCTCCTTCTCCTCCTTCTCTCTCTCGGTATTTCTCCTCTCGGTGTTCCTGCTGTTGAACCGGCCGCTCCGGACGCATTGGATCAAACTCTCTCCGAGCTCTCAGCAACTTTTCACACACACTCACACACACTCCAAACCCGCTGCGCTGTATGTCCAAAAACTCTTCTCCGGTTCCTCCACTAACCTACTTGGCGAAGTTTTACGCACCAGAAAAAAAAGAGAGAGAATCCATCCAGCATGAGTCCGCTCAGATCTTCATGTAATCTCTGCATCCGCTTCAAGACTTTAAAAGTAAAGTGAAGAAGTTTGATGCTGACAGTTTGGAGCGTCCCGGGTCAGAGATGTGATTTGGTGGTTTGGAGATGAGCTCCGGGCGGCGGAGAGTCGGCTCGACCCTGTCTGCAGGAGGGAGGGAGGGAGGATGGTGGGAGGGAGGGGGGAGAGAGGGAGGTCCATAAACAATCAGAGGGAGAGAAAAAGACGGAGAGACGTGTGACAGCCGTCCAGCTGTTTGCAGGAGAGCAAGACTCTCTGAGAAGCAGTTTGGAGGGTTTTTATGATCCTGCAGATAAAAGTTATCAGTTACAGTTGAGCTGTCAGACAAAGGGCACAGTGTGCTGACTGTGCACGTGGACACATCAGGCGTTACTGATTATATTAAATGAGACTGTGTAATTAAGCCAGGTGAGAAACCAGAGCAGCTGAAGCAGAAATACTGTACATGGAGAGCTGTCCTCACATCTAAAGTGTTTGTCTGTGAGAAGTGAAACGACTGATACCAATCCCAGCTGCCAGAAGAAATGTATGTTGCTGCCAAACTGCAACCACTGTTCGAGACCAGCTGACAACAAAACCAGTTGTATTTAGTGAGTCATCGCTGTGTTTCCAGAGAGAATAGTGCCACGAAAAGCTTGGCGCTGCCTCACCGCGATGGGATATCATACAATTATCTTGTATTTGTCACTACATTAAGTTAAATTAAATTCATTCTGACGCACATTTATGTGTCTATTTTAGGAAAGGGGACCGGAGGGTGCGCTCCAATTATAGGGGTATCGCAGTGCTCAGCCTCCCTGGGAAAGTATACTCCAGGGTGCTGACTGATTGTCAAACCTTGGATTCAGGATGAGCGGTGTGGCTTGTGTCCTGACCATGGAACAGTGGAGCAGCTCATTACCCTCGCAGAGCTGCTGGAGAGGTGTTGTGGGGGTCCAGCAGGAATATGGGGTGCCAAGGTCGTGGCTATAAGCCATTCAGTCCTTGTATGACCACAGTGAGAGCTGTGTCCACATGCTCAAAGTCAAACACATTCTCAGTGGGTGTTGTTGCTCCTCCTTGTGTCTGATCCTGTTCATGATATTCATGGGCAGGATCTTGAGGTGCAGCCGGGGGGAGGAAGGGGTCCAGTTTGGTGACCTCAGAATTGCTGCTCTGCTTTTTGCAGATGATGTGGTTCTGTTGGCTCCATCACACCGTGACCTCAATCATGACCTGGGGCGGTTTGAGTGTGAAGCGGTCGGGATGAGAGTCAGCACCTCCAAATCTGAGGTCATGGTTCTCTGCTGGAGAACAGTGGATTGTTCCCTCTGGGCTGGGAGAGAGTTGCTGCCTCAATAGAAGGAGTTCAAGTATCTCAGGGTCTTGTTCATGACTGAGGGTAGAATGGAGTGTGAGATGGATCGGTGTCTGCAGTGATGCAGACGCTGTGGTGGACCGTCGTGGTTCAGAGGGAGCTGAGCTGGAAGGGAAAGCTTTTGATTTCCTGGTCCATCTGCGTCCCAACCCTCACCTATGGTCATGAGCTCTGGGTAGTGGCTGAAAGAATGAGGTCACAGATACAAGCGTCTGAAATGAGTTTCCTCTGTGGGGTGTCTGGGCTCAGCCTTAGAGATAGGGGGAGGAGTCAGACATCAGGAGGGAGCTCGGAGTAGAGCCGCTGCTCCTTCATGTTGAAAGGGGTCAGTTTAGGTGGTTCGATCCTCCTGGGCGCCTCCTGTTAGAGGTGTTCTGCGCACATCCAACTGGTAGGAGGCCCCGGGGCAGACCCAGAACACACTGGAGGGATTATAAATATATTATATTTCCTCCCCCAGGAGGAGCTGGACAGTGCTGCTTGGGGGTGGGGTGGGGTGGGGTGGGGTGGGGTGGCGAGGGTGTCTGGAGTACTTTCCTCAGCCTGCTTCCTCAGGATGTGCGCTGGGTTTTGAAGACAATTTTCATAGTGATCAAACTACACCATCATGTGATGCTTTGGGGCCACAAAAAGACTTTTCTCATAGATACGTCAGTGCCGGCCTGTGACATAGGCAGTACAGGCAAATGCTAAGGGCGCCATAATCCATAGGGGGCGCCGCAAAGGATTTGGTATGATGATTTTTATGGTTGTTTTACTGTGACATGAAAAGTGTGTTTGTGTGTTTCACATGTGTTTCCTCTCAGCTGCCCTGTGACAGACTGATGTGTCAACTACCTGTACATGACTGCGACCGGATGACTCACACACACACACAGACAAACTAATGAGCAACAACAGACAGAAAACACGGGCAGTCGTCATGGCAACCACAGGTGGGAATTTCACAGCAGCTCACCTTGTTAACGTAAGATCCTGAAGGAAATGTCTTTTGCAGGAAGTCATTAAACACACTCCCAAAGTCTGTACATATATTCCATACCTATAAATATCAATGTGGCCCGATAAGTCACACTGTGCTCTTCAGAAACCAGTGAAACCAGTAGTACATTTATCCTATAATATAAAAGTCATCAACAATGGCTCGGTGTAATCATCTGTGTGCAAGATAAAAAAACAGCGAGAGACAGAAAGTCAGAGAAGACAAAACACATAAATACATCCTGCAGCCCCCAAACATGAGTGTTTTTTGGGGACCGATGGCTGCGTTTCCTGCCGGGATAGTGCATCACAAAGCGGTTGTTTTTTGCCAAGACATCATCGCATTTCCTGCCAGGATAGTGCCATAAAAAGTAGCTGTGTTTTACCAAGACATCACTGAGTTTGCCTCCAGGATAGCGTCACGTTATTTTTACAGAAACGCTGCTGCGGTTGCTGCCATGTTACTGCCTCTAAAAGCAGTTGTTGTTTGTCAAGACATGGCTGCATTTCCTGTCAGGATAGTGCCACAAAAAATAGACATTGCTGCATTTCCTGCTGGGACAGTGTCACTAATAGCGGTTGTTTTTTTGCCAACATGTTGCTGTGTTTGCTGCCGGAATATTGCCACAGAAAGCAGGACTGTTTTGCCCAGACGTGCCTGCGTTCCCTGTCAGGATAGTTCAATAAAAAGCAGTGTTTTACCAAGACATCACTGTGTTCATGCCAAGATAGTGTCACAGAAGCAGTTGTTTTTAACCAAGACATTATTGCATTTCCTGCCGGTATAGTGCCACAAAAAACGGTTGTCTGTTTTTGCTGAGATATGGCTGTGCTTCCTGCAGGGATAGTGTGATAAAAAGCTGTTGTTTTTTGTGGAGACATCGCTGCGTTTCCTGCTGGGATAGTTATTTGTGTTCATTCCAGCATAGTGTCACAGAAAGTAATTGTTTTTTACCAAGACATCTCTGGGTTACTGTTGGGATTATGCCCTCAGAAGCAAGTATTTTAAGCCAATACATGATCTTTACCTGACCATATCCAAGTGGTTTTTGTGCCTAGAAGCCAAACCAGTGTGAAGTGTGAAGTTTCATCGTATCTGCTACATAATAACGTACAAATGTAACGTACCTGTGGTTTGTAGAAAAGTACAATGCCAACATTTTGTCTGGAATATGGGTTGAGGGCATCGTGAACAATAAAAGGTGACATTTGTTGCTTTTATTCCATGTCGTGAATAAAAGTGGGCAACAATATTTGCTAAACAAATAATCATTTAAGTCATTTATCTGGCTACAGCGTCTCCACTGTTTTCTCTGTTTGAGTTTTGTCCTGTTGGTCGCACCATTTAAGACATTTGAAGACATTAAGTTGGACTGGAATTGTGAGGAGCATTTTTTTATTGTGACATTTTGGATCTGTTTATTAATCCAGAAAATAATAATTAAAACATGAATACGTCAGCCTCTGTTTTCCAGGTTCATGTGCATCGTGTCTGTCCTCAAGTTCCCACAAATAATTAATTATTAAAGGGGAACTAATGTTTTTTTCAACCTGGGCCCTATTTTCCGATCTACTTTTGTCTAAATGAGTGATAGGATGTTCAATATGTGACATGTCTCCAGTATGAAGCTAGGGCTGACCTGCCTGCAGCCCGTGAGCGCGCGCTATATTAAATAATAGGGCACTCAGACAGCGTCAAACAACGTCAAAATACGTCCACTAAAAGTGCATTTTTTTCTACACAGATAGACTCGGATTGTTAGTATAATTATCTGACAACATAACGGAAAGGAGAAATGAACGTGTGTGTTTACCTTTAGCTGGATTCAGACATGTTCCTCTGCCTGTTGCTGCTCCCTCTCTCTCCTCGTCCGCTCTTCAGTTTCAATGAGCTCTGCATCCGTGTACATCCGTGTTCAAATAAATACGGGCGCTCATCAAATTCAAATGGCTCATCCAGATCCAGTTGGTCAAAATCGGGTAAAAATTCAGCCATGACAACTCCAAACAGAGTAACTCCTCGCGTTTGTAAGGTCACTCCAGCGGTAACTTCCTGCAAAACTCTCTGAGTGAGTGTTTTGACTTGCCACAACAAACATGTCTGAATTTTTACCCAATTTTGACCAAGTGGATCTGGATGAGCCATTTGAAGACGTTCATTTCTCCTTTCCATTATGTTGTCGGACAATTATACTGTATAATGACATGACAGACACATGACTGAATATGGTCGATGAATAAAATTGAATATGAAACATTTGTGACGTCCATCTGTCGTTTCACTGTAAATCAATGTAAAGTGATAAAATTCAACCTCGTATTGACACCTCTACACACACATACACACATACACACACACACACACACACACAATGAGGGACATTCTTGACCACATCTGTTCCTTCTAAGCAACCAGTTTACCAGTCTGGACCAGTCAGAGCTTTATACTGGACAAACACAACCTGAGGTAAACACACACACACACACACACACACACACATACACACACACACAGTGGAATGTATACACAAATAGAAACAGATGGAAGCAAGTGTGAACACTAAAAAATACGGACACACACACACACACAGAGGGTAAACAGTGGTGGTGAGCTGGCACCGTTCCTGACACTGTTATTCCAAACTCAGACATTCCTCAACTCACTTTCCTCCCGACAATTACCCTCCGCACTCTGTGTGAGTGTGTGTGTGTGTGTGTGTGTGTGTGTGTGTGCACTGTTTGACTCAGTGTGTCAGAACTCAAACTGTAACCTAAAACCTT